GCAGGAAATTTAATCCAAAACAAACATTTACAGTAGTACCCAAAATGCTTGGAACCAGAGTTTAAAAGGACTTGCTAGTGATTTCCTGCCAGTCAAAACCAGCTTTGAAACAACTACCCTTGCCATTTGGATCACTGCATCGGAAGAAGAACAAAACCTGAAATATCTAGTGAGTATAAACCAAATCTGGATTACTGTTGCTCGCCAGCAAAACGTTTGCATTATGGATTCGATAGTCTTCCTTTGGGAGGATTTTGATGTTTTACAGTTTGGTTTTTTTAAAAGATAATATCCGAACTGTTGGCAGTGCAGAATTAGACAAGCGCACAAACAAAAAGTGAGGAAAACTGGCCAAGCTGATGAGCTGCAAGAACGTTACTGTGAGAAAAATACTTTTTTCTTAGGAAAGCTTTAACATTTTTTTTCTTCCAGATCATCCTGTTTGCTCACCTGCTCCTCAAACAGCTCAACGCTGTCCCGCATGGCTGCAAGGCGTCCCTTCATTCCTGCATTGCCCGTCGATTCCCATTCCCTGATCACCCTGTGCAAAAGCAACCCTGGATTTTCCATGTAGCACAGAGAGAGGAAACGGAGAGGAGGCAAGGGTGAATTAGGAGGCATTTCAGCTAAGACTCTCCACACTGACAACCCCCCCCGAGCGTGTGCTGCATTCAGAGCGGTGTCAGCAAGGGTGGAACTGGCCCCTGCTTTCTGAAGCAGAAGCAACTGGATTTGGCTGTGAGAATCCGCTGTTCCGTTAGCAATCCTACCAAGCACAACTTTCTCCTCCCACCCCACGCACACGGCCCGGCCATGCTGCTTCCTCCAGCGCGGCAGATGCATGGGCAAAAGAGAAGAGGGGAGAAAGAAAATCCTCTAGAAATGTTCCACTCTTGGGAAGCTCTCCTAGCTCCGAGCCTTGTTTCTTTCCTAAATGGCGATGAGCGCACAGACTCCCCAGGCTGCAATTTCTTCGGTTACTTTTCACATGGATTTTTCTTGTGTTTTCCCAAGAAAGTGCTGCGGCAAATTTCAGGTCAGGTGCCGATCCAAGTACTCATAATCAGAAAGGTCTAGCATCCCCTTCAACTTCAGCAGATTTTTTTTTTAATGTATTTGTATTTTTGATCTTTTTGTAAACATTGTTCTAATTTTTTTTGTTCCAGATACTTGCCAGGTGCTAAAGACAACATAAATCTAGGGACCCCCTATCTTTCAGGAGCTAGTGAGATACCAAACGTCAGTTGACACCTGCTAATACCCAGCTGCCGACACCAAGAACTACTCATTGAATATCTTTATTTTCTTCCTTCTCTCCCCCCTTAGTAACTAATCTGTAATAGTAAAAATAAAAGTAAAATAGTAAAAAAAAAAAAAAAAAAGTGTTGCAGACACTGGGGTCCCTCTAATGGAGAAGCCAGAGCAACTGAAATGAGAGCTTTGCCCTCCAACATCAAGATTGTGACACAGACCTCTCGGAAAAGCACCGAAAGATACAAAGCGCAAGCTGAGAATTCGACATTATCGACTCCCCAGCTCAGGTCAGGGGATCCCACTCGAGGGACCCCAGTGTCTGCAGCACTCCTCAGATGCTCCTGATCTCCTCCAGCAGGACTGTCTGTCTGTCCAAGTTGTTTGGGGGGTTCGCGGTGACCAGGTTTTTCAACTTCGATGCCCCAGAGACAGATGAAGTGACTTTCCCAAAGTCACCCTGGGAGGGTTGGGACAGCGATGAGAAGTTTGATTCTTCTGATTGTATCAGCAGTGTGTAAGTATTTACACCTGCAGCGTGTCCCCAGGTTTTTGCGCCCCCAGGGTTTCGTGCCTCTAAGTTAATGACCCCAAGCATTACCCAGCACTTTGTTCTGTGCCCGCTAGGGTTTTCGGTCCCTGATTTTTATGGTTTGGGACCCTTTCATTGCTGTCAGCCCGTTGCTGTCTCACGCCGACTCATCCCTGCATGGGACAGGTCAGGGACTTCATTCAGCGTGTGAAGCCCTGCCGTGCCGGCTGTCCCTGACCCCTGCGGACACCCCTCACCCCAGCCCAGAGGCGGGGAATCTCTTTTTCCAGCGCCGGTGCTCAGAGGGCTGCTTCTCCAGCAGAGCCCTTCCCCGACCACACACCCAGGGCATTGCCTGTGTCCCTGACCCAGCTCCCGTCCCCGCCTCACCCCCGGGCACCCCGGGACCCCCTTGCGGTGCCCAGCAGCGATGAGCAGGAGCTTCATGAGCAGCGCTGGCTCTGCTGAGGTCCCGCAGCCAGTTGGGGTGTGCAGGGAGGCAGCCCCCTTGCTTGCCTAAGGCCCTGGGTGCGTGCGAGGTGCTTGTGAGAGGCGGCTGGGAGGGCACTGGCTGCTCACGTGAGGGCTGGACAAGGCTCTAGGAGCCCCCAGGTTGCTCATGAGAGGGGCTGGATGCTCCCTGGGTGCTTGTGCAAGGCACTAGGTGCACACAGGGTGCTTGTGCAAGGGTTTGGCACGGGGGGGAGAGGAAGGCT